CATGAAATGTAAATGTAAATAGTGAAATTATTATATATGTATTTTACATAAAATGAATCGGTATTTGAATTAATTAATGACACATTTAATAACACATTTATGTATTTAATTCTAATTTTAATTAATTAATGACACATTTAAGTAATTATTTAATGGTGTATTTATTTATTTAATTGTGGCACTTTTAGTCCTCCATAGGCTATAGCCCTAATGTGTGTGTCTGCGCGTTAAGGCACTACCTCCTTTCCTTCTCAAGTGCAGCGACCACCTGAGTTATGTAAGCATTTTGTGCAGGGAGGGGTTGTGAGAGGTCTGCCAGTCTCTGAGCGTGGGCATAGTTCTTCCTATACTGAATTATTCAACAGGTCTGATTAATATACCCTGCCACAGCATAAACTAGGACGCCAAAGTTTCTGTGCTGTACTGTTTCCATGACAACACAGTATGTGGCCTCTTATGTGGTGCTGAATATAGAACTGTTTCACAGATTTTTTTTCTTACACCAATATGGTGGTTCACACAGAGATCCTATTAAATTACTAGAAGGGCTATATCATAAACCCTCAAAGTTCCAGAAAGGTGTTAACATGGCAGCCATATTGGTCAAGGAGAAATCCAAACCAGTCTAACTGGAAAGAATGGCAGTAGAGGTATAATCATGAGTTTACTTACAGTGGGGAAAAAAAGTATTTAGTCAGCCACCAATTGTGCAAGTTCTCCCACTTAAAAAGATGAGAGAGGCCTGTCATTTTCATCATAGGTACACGTCAACTATGACAGACAAATTGAGAAAAAAAAATTCAGAAAATCACATTGTAGGATTTTAATGAATTTATTTGCAAATTATGGTGGAAAATAAGTATTTGGTCACCTACAAACAAGCAAGATTTCTGGCTCTCACAGACCTGTAACTTCTTCTTTAAGAGGCTCCTCTGTCCTCAACTCGTTACCTGTATTAATGGCACTTGTTTGAACTTGTTATCAGTATAAAAGACACCTGTCCACAACCTCAAACAGTCACACTCCAAACTCCACTATGGCCAAGACCAAAGAGCTGTCAAAGGACACCAGAAACAAAATTGTAGACCTGCACCAGGCTGGGAAGACTGAATCTGCAATAGGTAAGCAGCTTGGTTTGAAGAAATCAACTGTGGGAGCAATTATTAGGAAATGGAAGACATACAGTGGGGGAAAAAAGTATTTAGTCAGCCACCAATTGTGCAAGTTCTCCCACTTAAAAAGATGAGAGGCCTGTAATTTTCATCATAGGTACATGTCAACTATGACAGACAAAATGAGGAAAAAAAATCCAGAAAATCACATTGTAGGATTTTTAATGAATTTATTTGCAAATTATGGTGGAAAATAAGTATTTGGTCAATAACAAAAGTTTCTCAATACTTTGTTATATACCCTTTGTTGGCAATGACATAGGTCAAACGTTTTCTGTAAGTCTTCACAAGGTTTTCACACACTGTTGCTGGTATTTTGGTCCATTCCATGCAGATCTCATCTAGAGCAGTGATGTTTTGGGGCTGTCGCTGGGCAACACGGACTTTCAGCTCCCTCCAAAGATTTTCTATGGGGTTGAGATCTGGAGACTGGCTAGGCCACTCCAGGACCTTGAAATGCTTCTCTCGAAGCCACTCCTTCGTTGCCCGGGCGGTGTGTTTGGGATCATTGTCATGCTGAAAGACCCAGCCACGTTTCATCTTCAATGCCCTTGCTGATGGAAGGAGGTTTTCACTCAAAATCTCACGATACATGGCCCCATTCATTCTTTCCTTTACACGGATCAGTCGTCCTGGTCCCTTTGCAGAAAAACAGCCCCAAAGCATGATGTTTCCACCCCCATCCTTCACAGTAGGTATGGTGTTCTTTGGATGCAACTCAGCATTCTTTGTCCTCCAAACACGACGAGTTGAGTTTTTACCAAAAAGTTATATTTTGGTTTCATCTGACCATATGACATTCTCCCAATCCTCTTCTGGATCATCGAAATGCACTCTAGCAAACTTCAGACGGGCCTGGACATGTACTGGCTTAAGCAGGGGGACACGTCTGGCACTGCAGGATTTGAGTCCCTGGCGGCGTAGTGTGTTACTGATGGTAGGCTTTGTTACTTTGGTCCCAGCTCTCTGCAGGTCATTCACTAGGTCCCCCCGTGTGGTTCTGGGATTTTTGCTCACCGTTCTTGTGATCATTTTGACCCCACGGGGTGAGATCTTGCGTGGAGCCCCAGATCGAGGGAGATTATCAGTGGTCTTGTATGTCTTCCATTTCCTAATAATTGCTCCCACAGTTGATTTCTTCAAACCAAGCTGCTTACCTATTGCAGATTCAGTCTTCCCAGCCTGGTGCAGGTCTACAATTTTGTTTCTGGTGTCCTTTGACAGCTCTTTGGTCTTGGCCATAGTGGAGTTTGGAGTGTGACTGTTTGAGGTTGTGGACAGGTGTCTTTTATACTGATAACAAGTTCAAACAGGTGCCATTAATACAGGTAACGAGTGGAGGACAGAGGAGCCTCTTAAAGAAGAAGTTACAGGTCTGTGAGAGCCAGAAATCATGCTTGTTTGTAGGTGACCAAATACTTATTTTCCACCATAATTTGCAAATAAATTCATTAAAAATCCTACAATGTGGTTTTCTGGATTTTTTTCCCTAAATTTGTCTGTCATAGTTGACGTGTACCTATGACGAAAATTACAGGCCTCTCTCATCTTTTTAAGTGGGAGAACTTGCACAATTGGTGGATGACTAAATACTTTTTTTCCCCACTGTACAAGACCACTGATAATCTCCCTCGATCTGGGGCTCCACGCAAGATCTCACCCCGTGGGGTCAAAATGATCACAAGAACGGTGAGCAAAAATCCCAGAACCACACGGGGGGACCTAGTGAATGACCTGCAGAGAGCTGGGACCAAAGTAACAAAGCCTACCATCAGTAACACACTACGCCGCCAGGGACTCAAATCCTGCAGTACAAGACGTGTCCCCCTGCTTAAGCCAGTACATGTCCAGGCCCGTCTGAAGTTTGCTAGAGTGCATTTTGATGATCCAGAAGAGGATTGGGAGAATGTCATATGGTCAGATGAAACCAAAATAGAACTTTTTGGTAAAAACTCAACTCGTCGTGTTTGGAGGACAAAGAATGCTGAGTTGCATCCAAAGAACACCATACCTACTGTGAAGCATGGGGGTGGAAACATCATGCTTTGGGGCTGTTTTTCTGCAAAGGGACCAGGACGACTGATCTGTGTAAAGGAAAGAATGAATGGGGCCATGTATCGTGAGATTTTGAGTGAAAACCTCCTTCCATCAGCAAGGGCATTGAAGATGAAACGTGGCTGGGTCTTTCAGCATGACAATGATCCCAAACACACCGCCCGGGCAACGAAGGAGTGGCTTCGTAAGAAGCATTTCAAGGTCCTGGAGTGGCCTAGCCAGTCTCCAGATCTCAACCCCATAGAAAATCTTTGGAGGGAGTTGAAAGTCCGTGTTGCCCAGCGACAGCCCCAAAACATCACTGCTCTAGAGGAGATCTGCATGGAGGAATGGGCCAAAATACCAGCAACAGTGTGTGAAAACCTTGTGAAGACTTACAGAAAACGTTTGACCTGTGTCATTGCCAACAAAGGGTATATAACAAAGTATTGAGAAACTTTTGTTATTGACCAAATACTTATTTTCCACCATAATTTGCAAATCAATTCATTAAAAATCCTACAATGTGATTTTCTGGATTTTTTTTCTTCTCATTTTGTCTGTCATAGTTGACGTGTACCTATGATGAAAATTACAGGCCTCTCTCATCTTTTTAAGTGGGAGAACTTGCACAATTGGTGGCTGACGAAATACTTTTTTCCCCCACTGTATGCAGGTAAATAAAAGTCATGTAAACAATTAACCTATAACAGCACAGAGGCTAAAGAGGTAGCCTAACATCTTTATGTAACACCTACCATTTCCGACATCATCCCTAAATGTTTATTTTCTCAGAAGAACTTATGGTAGGAGGGTGGAATATATGCAGGGCTACAAAAGGAGGAAGATAACCACAGAACTTTGAAAATGAACAGGATTTCTCTGCTCTCCCCTTTATTGGGACTTAAAGGTTCTCTCCCTCTTATAATGAATCTGCAGCCAAACTTTCTTTCATAGCGAGCAGCCTCACAGGGAGTCCCCACTGTGGAAGTGTCCTCCTGACCTAGAAACTGTTCCCTTAGGGAGGGACCCTCTGTTACACAGAGAGGAGGGTCGTAAGTGACGCACAAGTCTAGAGGTGACAAGAGCATGTTGGCTAGTCTGTGTTGTATAGCTCCATCTAGCCTCTATACATGACCTCTATGGTCTTCCACCATGTTGATCACATCAAACATCAAGTCCTGCCAGATCTGAGAAGGGGGTCAACAAGGATCTAGGGATATGGGCAGGGAACTGGTTTGGAATTGGGACATGATATCTACTCATCAGTGTACTGACCCCATGCACTCAGGGGTACATGAGAACAGAGTTTCATAATCAACACCAGAAACTCCAAAGAAATTAGGTACATACAGATAAACAGGTGAATTAATAAAAGCGCTTTAATAACAAAGTATTATCCTGTGATCAAAACAATACAAAAAGTAAACGCATATCATGAACATCTATAAAACGTAACCGGAACAATGCAAATGTTTGTACTTACAATCATTACCACCCTGATCAAAGGGTCTTTGTTATAAAATGTATAGGCTAAACATTAACTACCCACTCACTGCCACGTCGCCAACCAGTGCTGACAATAACACAGTACAGCAGTGCTCACTAACCTGGAATAACCATGAGGGGGTGTGCACTGAACATAATGAAACACACCTTCACAAGCTCCTCCTTGAGTGACTTCCAGCAGAATAAAAAACACAGCAGGACTCACGCCACATACAGTCATGAAGTCAGCATTTTAAAAACAGTTGGCTAAAAATCCCATTAGTATATTTTCATCCCAAAGGATCATCTTCCTCCAATCGCTTTAATCTGAAGAGAGATAGAGATAAACACACGTTCAGACCGGGAGATAGACTGGTGTAGAGGTGTAAATTAGTTCAGTAGATAGCCTGAACAGGTAGTGGTGTAAGGATGAGTGGTCTAACCAGACCCTGCTAAGGGGGCAGGGGGAGTAAGAGAAAGTAATCAGCGTAATGTCAACTAAAAGATGTTGGACACCACACTTGTGCGGTGAGGGAGGTTCCAGGTTTCTGTGGTCATCTGACTGTTTTCTCAACTGCAGCTTGGGGATAGAGTGGAGGTTGTGTGTGTGTGTGTGTGTGTGTGTGTGTGTGTGTACAGTATGTGTGTGGGTGTTCTGACCTGTAGGTCTAGGGGTTGCTCCAGTGACCCTCCCAGCTTCTGCAGAGCTGCACTAAGGCCTGCCCTCAGAGCCTTGTAGTCCGGCTGGTCAGAGTACTGCAGAGCCATCACCTGAGACAGGTACACCTGCAGCGCACCTGATACATCATTTAGTACACACAGATACATTATATCTCACGCACACACAAAACATATTACGCTGCATAAAAAAACAAATAACTAGAAAACTGGACTTACTCAAGACTTTCTTTTGTCCGAAGCAGTGATTTAGGAGACCTGGAACGTCCTCCATGTACCTGAATCATTACAGTGAAGGGTCAAGATTGGACACTCACGCAAGGCTTTATCATTTTATAAATACAGAATAACATTATCATAATGGCTTTCTTGCCATAGTGAGGACCTAGGCTCTCACCTCTCCTTCTCCGTGGCAACGCTGGCTGGTGTGTGTGTGAGGGAGGTCCAGGGCAGCGCCCCTGTGTACCAGCGCAGCATGCAATAGCCCAAAGCCTGCAGGTCACTACGCCGAGATGGACCTTGAGGTGCGATCACACACAAGTACTTATGGTTGGTTAGGGGCAACTTGTCCCTCCTCCACAGTATCTGAAGGACTGCGGGTGATTGACAAGCCGCATGATGACTCACCTGCTCCCTTGTGAGACTCTAGGCTTATAAATTCTATGGCTCCTTCATGTGGTGTTCGGCTGCCCTCGCGGTACTCCACATGCCGGCCACCAGGACAGTAGCGGAAAGCATGGCAGTACCCTGCAAGGTATACCTACACACGTATACAGGAGTAAGAGCATAGTAGAGGGGTCTGGCAGCACACAAACACACAACTATACAGACACACTCTGACCGGTGTTTGTTGTGCTGGGCTGATGTAGATGTTTTCAGCGTGGATGTCTGCGTGAACATACTCATTTTCATGGATGAACACCAACACATCCAACTGGAAGAAGAGGGAGAAAGGCAGAGTTAAACAGCAAGCACATCCAATAGGGAATCCTATTTTGAAGTCATATCAGGGCCTCTATAAGAGCACTCACTACTCTGCAGGCCAGCTGAAGCACCACTTTCTCAGACAGGATCCCCTCCCCCTCATCCATGAAAGACTGAAGAGTTTGGCCCATGCTGGGGAAAATCAAAAACCTGAAACATAAACGCAACACTGTACACATTCAAAACATACAAAAGGAAAACACACACATCCCCCATAAGCACAAGCACACAGCAAACACACATCTCAATGTACACACACCTGTAGGAGTCTGCATGGAGACCAAATCCTACACAGGAAGGAATCCCAAGGAAGTCCATCTTGGCGTGCTTTATCCACTTGTCAACTAGGAGGAGACAGCATCACAGCAGTTAGAAAGGTTAATTAGTAACTAACAGAGCCTCTACAATGGGCTCCACCACTAGTAGTCAAGTCAGTCATACACAAACCAAACAATTCCTCCTACTCTATACCTCTCAGCTTACAATGCCACCTATAGGGACCCATCTGAGTTGCCCATTCACATGCCAGTTTGCAGCTTTGCATTAAGATAAGGATGTTCCTGCCAAGCGGATCTTGTAACAATCTTGGCCTTGTATTCTTTAGTTCTGTCAAATGTGTTATTGTACAGCCAGATCTACTAAAATGCGTAGATAGCTAAGGCAAGTGGATGGGTAGTCCAGTCAGGTGAGAGTCAGTTTAGAGGTGTAGTCAAGCTGAGGGCTGGCCAGGTGTATGAAGGCAAAGCTTGACTCTCACCTGATGAGGGCTTGGCAGCTCTCTGTAGGAAGTTCTGCTCATTAAAGATCTTCCCATCTTTAGCTCCCTGCAGAAGAACACACATCAGAATTCACCACATAATACGCAAAGCACCACTGTAGCCAACATAATCGTTCTATATGAGAGAACACAGTCTGTGCAGTTACACTCACTAGTTTAAGCATGTGTTTGTAGTCACTGGAATTGGCAACTGGCCCGTTCTGCTGGACTGGGGAGAGATTGAAGACAAGAAAACAATCAGTGTCTGATCAAATCACCATGGTCCATATTTGACACTCCATCCTGTCTGACAGTATTCTTCAATCCTGGCCCTCAGGGGCCCACAGGTTATTGCAGGTTTTTGTTCCAGCCCAGTACTAAATCACCTGAATCAGAGAATAGTCAACTAATCATCAAGGTTTCTTTGTGCTAGCCTGGAACAAGAGCCTGTACACCCCGAGGGTCCCATGGACCAGAATTGAAGAAGAGTGCAGTGTGACCTCTCACCTCCATAGAACAGCTCAGCTTCGCTCTGACTCAACAGTTTCACCAGCCTCCACTTCCTGCCTGTTGTGTCACAAAGCTCCTCCCCTTCCTGCAGTGGCTCCACAGCACATGCCCGCTTAGCCTTCTTCGCTTTCCCCTTGACTACACACACAGGAACATACATATATACGCACACACATACAAGGAAGGAAAAAAGGACATACTCATGAGGACAGGCTGTTGGGAGTCATGTGTTTTGTTAATTGTAAGTGGCTGTAGTTAAGACTCACCTGTGGAGGGGGACCTGGGGAGAGGTGAAGAGACAGGTGAGGCCAGCTTCACAGACGGTTCCTCTTTAATCTGTTCCACTTTTGGGGTGACAGCACGTCGTTTCCGTGGAGACATCACTGTTTTGGGGCTTTGATCTGCCGATAGGGAGGATGCGTTTCCCATTTGCTAAAGAAAACCAAGCATCAATGTGCCACAACTACATTTCCAATGCCAGTCAATGGCTACGATAATCCCTTTGACCCCCCATAACCACTGATGATAATCATATTGTCCCTCCATCCCCGTACCTGCAGCATGTTTTGGGGAGGCAGTGACAGGGGGACTGGCTACACTACTAGGAGTTTCCTCGCTCCGGGCCGTGGGGGCAGAGTTACGGGTCCTACGCAGTGGGGGGCGGGTCGACACAGGGCTGGTGGTGGCGCAGATGAGGCCTGCAGGAAAACAAGACATGAAACAGGTGGACTCTTCATCTCCAGAAAAACAAACCAAAATCAAATATTCACAGGCAATGCTTACACACTGAGGAACAAACAACAAATGCACAATACTCACTTTGATTAACCCCTTAACCCTGTGTCAACTGCAATAAATCCCCCCACAACTTGACCACATACCTCCTGCGTCCCCGCTAGTCAGCTGTGCCGTGCCAGTAGCTGGAGTGCTAGTGTTGGCTGTAATGTTGGTTATGCCATCAGTGACGTTAAGCTGAAGGACTCCAGAGGACGCAGCCTCCAGGGGTCCAGTGGTGTCCACAGCACATGGCAGCTTGTCCCCACAAGAGGGGCAGAACCGGAAGCCAGGCTGCAGCTTGGTGCCACACTGGGGGCAGAAGTGGAGGAGCATCCTGGAAACACAAAGGACACAATTTAGCCTGGTGGTCCTAGATCACGTCCAGACTAGATGGAATTTACACTGCTTACAATACAACCCAGAACCTCTATCTACAAAACGTGTACTTGTTCATGACTGGTGAACTTTCAAAAGCTCACATTACAATTGCAATATTTTGTTTTAATTGGACTGTTCTGGGTAAACTCCAACTTCAAGATGATCACAAGGTTAATAGCTAACATTACAGAACGATATACATCCTGAACAATCCCTTTTCATTTGCAAAGTCTGATATCTTTTCTCTCCCCTTCGGTCTGATCGTGCTGAAGAACATAAGCTGTCTGATATTACCACCATTCAAATCTACATCACAAAGGCTTAACATTATCTAGCTAAAACAAGTTCTCAACTGTGTTATTAGCAAAAGCAGTTAATCTGCCGTCTTTTTTATGGCTAGTTAGCTATCTAGTTAAATTGGCGGTCCCGCTCCATTATTAGTTAGCTAGCTGGTTCTGCTCTGGTTCTAACTTGATTCGTTATCCCGGGAAGATACTTTTTAATTTTAGAAAGACAAATCCATTTCTTAGCTCTTACGTTAGAATATAGCAGACCTGGAGGTGAAGTGAGAAAGAATACTTATGCGAGGTTACTGGATCATGTTCCTGTTAGCTAGTAGACGAGTGATAAGTGAAAATGTCAAAGGGTTAGTGCTAGCCGGAATGCTCGGGAAGTCCCTACCCTAAACTCTAACCGAAATCATTATTATTATTCTTCGTCGTCGTCTTCTTCTTCAGTGGGGTTTATCGGCAGTTGGCATCCAACGTTATGGTGCATTACCGCCACCTACTGTACTGGAGTGTGAGCCAGAGACCGGGAGAAACTTAAATCCTACCTGCCAGCCCCGTTGCTCTTAAAAAAGATAACAAAATATTTGAGACTATATCTAATGACGTTCTACTCAATATACTCTTTCAACTAATTTCCTGTATCCCCTTCTCCCTCATACTAGATCTCATCCTCTCTCTTTCCCTCTGATACTGCCCACACTGTAGCAATACATGCTCCTGTTACCTGACAATAATCACACTTTCCGGTTGGATGCTTTCCTATCACATTTAATGTCTTATTCAACAGGCTGTGTCCCACCCTTAATCTTGTAAAAATAGCCTCCTCTCTTCTGTCCCTTCCTGCCGCCCTCCCCTCCCCGACTTTCCTCTGTACTTAAAAATAAATGAAATAAATGCCTTCCTTTATTATCTCTATTCCACTGCTCCTACCATCTCTGCACCATCACTGTATATATCAGTATTTTTGCCTCTGCCTTGCTCATTGAAACTTCAAGATCAACATCCCCACTACTAAGTGCTTGTTTAGCCTGTTCATCTACTGCCTCGTTCCCCTCCACCCCCACATGGACTGGGACCCAAGTAAATCTTATCTGAATACCCATCTGTTTAATCCTGCAATGTGTTTGTAGCACCTCATAAAGCAGGTCTTGTCTGCTACGTGAGCTAAAGGACTGGAGACTCATTAACACTGCACATGAATCAGAGCAAATAACTACTCTGTCTTGTTTGACTTCCTCCACCCACTGCACGGCCAACAGTATGTCCATCAGCTCCGCCGTATATACAGCCAGATGATCTGTAATACTTTTCCTGACTTCCACCCCACATTCCTGCACTACAAATGCTGACCCAGTATGTCCCGTCCTTGGATATTTTGAACCATCTGTGTAAATGGCCACAAAATCCTGACACACAGTTTCCAGACGTCTCTTAAAGAAATCAGATGGGATCCCTAATTCTTCCTAACCTTGTTTAACCATTTTAAAGTTCAACTTCAATGGGATTACGTCAGAGTTGGACGTCCCAAGGATTCTGAACAGCAAGGACTGAAGATCACGTGGTAAAACTGTTATTTTTTCTATAGGGAGTGATATGTGCCAAACCTTGTCCTACGACAAATACGTTTAAAAATTCAGACTAAATCCCCAGTTACTCATAGCCTCACTTCAAACTCTGTAATAATAATTTAATTTTTTTTTTTTTTAAATAGACACACCATCCACATATTATGTTAATCACAAATCAAGTTGTATAATCTGTGGTGGTACCGTATAATTTGTAAACAATAACATTACAACTGATTTAAATGTGTCCCCACATTAGGAATTTATGATGACCAGTCAACAAGATGTTGCCGGTTACCCGGAGAAACATAATACATAGCCTATATGCCAGGGACTGATGGTGCCGGATCCCATTGTGCCCTTGAGCAAGGCTCTTAAAGTAAACACACACACTAGCTATGAGTGTCATACATTTGCATGATGCACCAATGGAAAACAGACCTCTTTTATTTACAGTGTCCATGAATTTGCATTTTAGTTTTCTGGAACCATCTTGCTGGTGGTGGTGAAATATCCAGAAAAGAGACATATGGGAGCAGCTGAGACAAACATTGACAGAAAGACCTGAGGATTAACACCGGAGTACGGCAGTTGCGTGAAGGACAATGTGGCTGTATTGCAAACTGGTTTTCCCCCTCACTTGGGTTGTGCTGACAATTGGAGGCTTTAGCGCTGACTCAGGTAGGTAGGAAGAGAACTACACCCACACCATTACACCTACACAAAACACTTTTACTTAATTTATTATTTTTGAGCTCCTAGTAGAGCAAATGACCTCCAGTGAAGCCTATTCTGATCAGGTTTCTTCACTTAATTCAATGGGTGTTCCCTGCCTTCTCCATCTCCTCTTAATTGGTCCTTCTCTATATTTTTCTTGAACGGTCAACCCATCTCTTGCTCTGTGGATTTCACCCATGGTCCTGTCTGTTGTGTTTTTACGTTTCTACAGTGTGTATCAAAACAAGCTGGTTTCTTAATAAAAACATTTCTGGATTGTGTGTATTGCTTTTATTGTTAGGTATTACTGCACTGTTGGAGCTAGAAACACAAGCATTTCACTGCACCTGCGATATCTGCAAATCTGTGTACGCAACCAATACAATTACATTTTCTCTGTCCCAGTTGGCTTTGTTGTTTTTGTGTGTGTTGCCACTGCCAGAGGTCATGGTTCCTGATTATGTCTGATCATCTAATGGTGTATAATGTTTCTGGGACATCTGTTGATAAAGTTATGTATGCTATTTAGGGTGAAAGTGGTAACTCTACATGTTTCTGAACCATTTATCAGAACAGATTGGCACCTATCATGAATAATCACTAATAAATGATTAGAAATTAACTATTGAATAGTTCATACTTGTAAAAACTTATAGCATTTAGAACTTTGCCTCAAAAATTTATAAAATGATTTATAAGCATTTATAAATATATATATAAACATTTATAAAGGCTTATTCATGAGTTAAAAAGTGTTAACATCCAGATTTAACATTTGTGTTGAAGATTGAGACAGGCCCTTTGTGTTCCAGATTGGTTTTAGGGTGTGCTATGTTATGTTTTGCTTTCGCTTAACCTACACTTGTACAGTGAGTGCATCACATCTGTGCCACTCCAAGACTATTCACAGTTTCACCTGTGCTGAGCCCCTCCCCTTTCTGTTACCTGTAGGAGACAATTGTGACAAAAATGTAAGTGTGGGAAAAGAGGAATAAACCATTTAAGACTAATAACTGCTCTACATTTACCTATGTTTGTAGTTGATTTTTGATTGGATATCAAATGCACAACTCTTCAGGTTCTCCATCTCATTATGTTTTGCTTGTTTTGTCTCCAGTTACAGAGGGACACTGTAATTGCTGCGTAAAGGATATCAAGAAATGCAAAGAAGATCGGTGTAAAAAATCAAGGGTCCAATGAGATGTGTTTTATACATAAATCTGAAGGATTAGGTATGGTATCCAATTTCAATTCTACCTTGTTTTTCTTAAAGGGAAATTTCCCCACTTTTCAACCTCATATTCATCTAGAGCGCCACTCCAACATCCACATGTGAAAATTGTGTGTTTATGTTTTGTAGTCAAAAAGGAAGTGTTTCTGATGACATTATCCGGAAACACTAATGACATCTGGTGTGCATCATCAACTGAGCAGGCAGAGAGGACGAGGTGACGCGAGAGAGCTGACCCCGCCCATAAACCATCCGCATGAAAATAAGGCGTGAAGCAGTGGAAGTGTAGGGGGGTTGTATGGAGGGCAATGGGAGAGAGTCCGTTTGGCAAACATAATGTATCGCCATTTCCTCCGTGAGGATTATTTGATTGAATATAAGTTTCAGAATGGTTAGGTTGTTATGAATGTCCTGACATCCAAGTTATTTTTATATCGGAGTTGTGTCTGTTGTCCTCACGTGAATCTGCCATGTCATTGGCTAGAATGTTCCCTCCTGCTCCTGCATGCCTTACGCCTCTCTTATCATTGCTATGCAGATGACTCTCAACTACTCTTCTCCTTCCCCCCCTTCTGACACCCAGGTGGAGACACGCATCTCTGTGTGCCTGGCAGACATCTCAGTTTGGATGTCAGCCCACCACCTCAAGCTGAAGCTCAACAAAAAGGAGCTGCTGTTTCTCCTGGGGAAAGCCTGCCCTCTCCAAGACCTCTCCCTCACAGTTGACAACTCCACGGTGTCCCCCTCCCAGAGTGCAAAGAACCTTGGCATGACCCTGGACAACACCCAGTCTTTCTCTGCTTGTGCTCTACAACATCTGTAGAGTATGACCTTTCCTTACACAGGAAGCGGCTTGGTCCTAATTCAGGCACTTGTCATCTCCGGTTTAGACTACTGCAACTCTGTTGGCTGGGCTCCCCGCTTGTGCCATCAAACCCCTGCAACTTATCCAGAATGCCGCAGCCAGCCTGATGTTCAATCTTCCTAAGTTCTCCCATGTCACCCCGCTCCCCTGCACACTCCACTGGCTTCCAGTCGAAGCTCGCATCTTCAAGAGCCTGGTGCTTACCTACGGAGTAGCAAATGGAACTTAGTGGATTAGTCTATTTAAGCCTCACCCGTTGCTGACAGGTGTATAAAATCGAGCACACAG